TTTCTAAAACCAAAGTGAGTGAAAAAGAAGGAGAAAAAATTGTTGGTCAGAGGAGTCCAAAAGACTGATCAAAACGTTGTCATTAGTGTTTGCCCAGAATGACCCTGTTTCTGAAGACACTTCTGACAGAGGAAAGACTCACTGGGAAGAATCCCCTCTGAGGATTAGCTCTTATGTATGGGTAGCATCTATGCAAGCCGCCAAGGGAGAAACGCAATCAGTAGTCCTACCCAGCTGTAATACATATGAACAGGAACAATAGCTAGAACGGGAAGATAATCCTGAAAGGTGCAACAGTGACACTCATATGCTGGGGGGAACCAATTGCTCTCTAGTTTGAAATAAGGCCTGCTCAAGTGGAGGGAATTCATGTCTGGTACCATAACACTACCCTACTACCCATGGCTGGTGAGGCTATCAACCCCAGAATAGAACTCATACTGCCACTTCATTAAACCAATATAATTTCTCCCTGCATTCTAAATGTTTACCCATATACCTACAAGTAAGTGTAGCTATCACCCCTCATCAAAGAAGCCTCTGTTGGGGAATATTATTTTAAGGTGTACTACTTTTGTTCATGATGCATTTGTTTAACTCTGTGAAACTGCTACTGTGCCTGCATAAAATATCTGATGGTCTAATAAAGAACTGGCCAATAGCAAGGCAGGAGAAAGGACAGGCAGTGCTGGCAGGCAAAGAAAATATACAGAGGGAGAAATCTGGGAGGGGAGAGCTAGTTAGGAGCCAGAAAAGGAGGAGGACTCCAGGGGCCAGCCTCCTAGCTACACAACAAGCCACAGAATAAGAGTAAGATTTGTGAGAGAACGGGAAAAGCCCAGAGGCAAAAGGAAGATGGGATAAATTAAGAAAAGCTGGCTAGAAACTAAGCCAAACTAAGGCTGGACCTTCATAAGTAAGAATAAGCCTCCATTTGTGATTTATTTGGGAGCTGGGTGGTGCCCCCCCAAAGAGCCAAAGAATAAAAAAATAATAATAACAGCAACAAGCTTCTTTTTTGCATCAGGGACCATTAAACCCCAGCTGGTCAGAATGAAGAGTACAAACAGCTCTGTGGGATACCCAGCCCCAACTGATACATCTACAGCACAACCAAAGCACCTAACACTCAGGGAACATCACAGAAGAGGGGCGGAAAGACTGTGAGAGCAGAGGACCAGGACGGGCTATCCCCTTCAAGACAATGTCCTCTACACAACGGGCACCCAGGAAGTCTCAACAATCTGGCCACTGAAACAAGATTGAAAAATGATGGTACCAATTGGCATGCCAGCAAGGATGGGGGAATTATCACAGGGTTTCAGCATTTGAAGAGGAACTACAGGCAATTAATGGTTGCTGAGGGAGGGAGACACAGTTTTCTCCAGGAAAAAAGAACCCGATAGGTTAGCCAATCCCAAACTGTCAGTCCTAATACACACATATGCTGCATTTGCTTAGCTCTGTGAAGCTGTGCTACTGTGCCTGGATATGATACATAATATCATATGCATGTATGATGAGGTACCACTCCTGTTTGAGGAACTACTGGCAGTTGATGGCTGCTCTGGGAGAGACAGATACTTTCTTCAGTGGTATAGCCCCCTGGTAAGCTGCCTATACCTCATTAAATAACCCAGTCCACACTCATGCAAGCAGCCCTGATTAAATCAGTAAGTCCCGGAAAGACAACAAAAAGACATAAAAGCAGAAGAGGTTTGGCAGAGAGGGGTAGAGGATGTAATGATCAACATACATTATATATTTGTATGAAGTTGACAAAAATGAATTCATATAAGATTTTTAAACATCTGCTTAGGGATGACAATTACACATTCTGATGATATAAAGATATGTGGCACATAAGTGCCAAACAATAATAAAACATGTAATCTCTATTGCAGATCCCACATAGCCAACAAATGTGCTCCTTGATTTTTACCTGGTCATATAGTTACAAATGAAAAAACAACACAGTTCTAACCTGAATATCAATTGATGTCCCCATACGCAAGACAAAAGTAAAACTATAGAGGTATGTCCTTGTGGCTGTACCTGTTAACTAGTGTCATGAGCAATTTCTTTGCTAGCTCAGAAAATAGTTTTTGTGTACTTTTTATATGTGCTATTCACAATGTGACAAAGAAATTTTATAATGTATAATTTAATCTACATTACTTTTTTTTTTTTTTTTTTTTGGTTTTTCGAGACAGGGTTTCTCTGTGTAGCTTTGCGCCTTTCCTGGAACTCACTTGGTAGTCCAGGCTGGCCTCGAACTCACAGAGATCCGCCTGGCTCTGCCTCCCGAGTGCTGGGATTAAAGGCGTGCGCCACCACCGCCCGGCTACTTTTTTATTATAAACTCAAATCAACACTTGGCTCACTTTTTTTTTTCTGGAAAGGGCCATGTAGTAAATATATTAGGGGTTTAAAGTCACATGATCTGCCTCAACCAGTCCACTCTGCTATTGTCTTAGGCAGACAGCCATAGGCAGCACACAAACAGGTGTGGCTATGTTCTAATGAAAATGTATTTAAAAGAAAACAGGAAATTTTGTCCATGGCCTGTCCCAACCAATTAACCAACCCTTAACTCAAGTCCTTATTACTATCATTTATGAGTTTCTATTGTGCATGCACTATGATTAGTCAGTTTTGATTCATAACAAGTCATTATTGAAAACAAACCTTGAAAGAAATGTATTATGGCAACTCATAGAGAATTCACACACACACAATATACAGTAATAACTGGAAGAACAGGCAACAGTAAAATGTAATCAAATAATTTGAAAGAAACAGTTATCTTTTTTATAAGATCAGTTCAATGTTTATAAATGCATTTTAATAAGGACTGTATTTAACCACTGGCTCTCAGAATACCTGACAGTTTAACTGTTGTTCACATGCTGCTAGGAGTCAGCCTCAGGACACTAAACCAGTTCCCCTCAAATCAACAGGAGTCCTCAGATGGTCTCCAGATAACTATCCAGCCAAACCTGGAAACTACCACCCTAAGAAGCCGATGAGTTGAGCTGATACTCGGAGCTCTTGGGATTTAGAAGAAAAACATATGCCTTGAGACAAACTCTGTGTTTCAAATGGGGAAAGTGAATAGAGGCAAGGCAGAAGGATATGATGTCAAGTCTTCCTGTGGTGGGGGTGGGGTGGGGTCAAAGTAGCAGAATGTATGGCACAGATGGGAGAGAAATTTGGAGAGGGTATCTAACCATTCTGGTGTGCTGGATACAGCACTATCAGTGCTAAAGCCAAAAAATCTACACCACACCAGGAAGGCATTGGGTGTTTTATTTAGCTGATTTTAATAGCCTTGTGCAGACCGTAGTTCCTGTATTAGGTAGCACAGCAGGTACTTACAAATATTATACAACATGTTTCCTTTGCCTATAAATTTCCGATTTGCTGGTGTGGAAAGAATTTTGAAGCATGCTGAAAGGGGGAATATGTGAGAGTAACAGTTCAGAGTCTGCAATTAAAATTTTACTGTCAAGCTAATATGTTAATATGATAAAACTTCTTCAGAATTAACAATGAATTTATGAGAAAAAAAGTTCTTTTTTCCAGTGACACTACAGCCAATACAATAGTGGATTAAAAGGAGTGGGCAGAGATGTCACTAAGGTGAACAAAATCCCTTGCCTGGTTTATCTCTTAATCAATAGCAAGTGTTTTTACAGAATGGTCCACAACCAAGCCAAAAACCCAAAAAGAACCATATTACTTGATTGTGGGGACCCTTGTCTTTGATGTCTTTTTTTTTTTTTTTTTTTTTTTTTTTTTGGTTTTTCGAGACAGGGTTTCTCTGTGTAGCTTTGCGCCTTTCCTGGGACTCACTTGGTAGCCCAGGCTGGCCTCGAACTCACAGAGACCCGCCTGGCTCTGCCTCCCGGGTGCTGGGATTAAAGGCGTGCGCCACCACCGCCCGGCGTCTTTGATGTCTTTAGATGTCGCTCCCTGAATCTTTTGCTGACTGGCACAAACAATGTGTTTAAGATTGAGTCACATTTCCCAAAAGGTCAATCTTTAATGGTAATATTCTCATTTAAAATGAATCATGTGAATATCATCACAAGCTACCATACTCTTTAAAATGGTGTTTGTAGCTAGAACTGTATGTGAAGGATAAAGTGCAAGATGAAGGATGAGCAGAAGTCAACTGCAAATATTATCAGATCCCCATAAAAATGATGAAAAAGCAGTGGAATTCTCCAAACAATCCTTTTTACCTAGAAAGGCTCACACTCTGAGTAGTGCTGATCTCTCTAATCAGAGGTCTTTTAGATGTAAACTATGAAGTTACAGAACTATATTAACTTGACAGAGGCAACATGGATATTCAACTATGAACATAAAAAACTTTGCATTCCCTAAGCTTTCAGCCAGGTGGGTTATTCTTTTTCTCACCTAACACTGTAATAGTAGAGCAACCTAGGACATTTAGCCATCTTGTCCTGACAAATAACCAATTCACCTTTCCCCCCTCGGTATATTCTTAAGTATTGATTTTGCCAAGTGAACTCAGACGTGTGTCACACTTATCCAATACATATCTTTCCCCCTGGAAATGTAGTTTGAACATCAATCAGTCACCCAGCCTTTTCACCTCTGATTCTTATTGTCACTGTCTGTCAACTCTTAAACCTTGGCCATTTTACAAATGCATTGTTTTTAGAAAACGAAATGTGCACAGGATTTTATTTCTCTGAGAAATATGCAAATGCTCACTCACTGAAGTTCTTCATTAAATTTACTTTCCTGTACTGAATGCTAAGTTTTATAAACTCCCATTTCAAAGACACATAGTTATTTCCTTTTAAGACTTATTTTCTGGATAGTATTCTTATCCCTTTCAGGTCAAACTTTCCTGTTGAGGACAAGCTGAGACATTCAACTGAGAAACAGTGTTACATGGGTCTTCGATGGGATAGAATGCTTCTGTCTCTGCCTGGATGCAGTGAGAGTCACAGAGTGACACCCACCTTGAGCTGCAGACCTCCCGGGACCACGGTGTTTGCTGGAAGGCTCCTAATGTGTTGGCAGACATAAGAGGAAAACTGCTCCTGCTCAGCCTGTAATTGGGGGCCAAGCTTAGCGAGATGACCTCTGTTGCTTTTGATAGCTGTCTGCAATTCATCAATCAGCATGCTCACCTGAAGGGGTTAAATTACAAGACTTGTTAGCAAGAAGTAATTGTTGATGTCACACCTATTAGGTTTTTGAGTACCTAGCCTGATAGGAGAAAATGACTTCAACTCAAGAATTTAAGGATGGCTCTATCCTCAGGTAAAGAGAATGCAAGGGATAAACATATCTATCTCCATTATCCACTTTTTGTTTGCTGAAAACAAGTGTGTGTGTGTGTGTGTGTGTGTGTGTGTGTGTGTGTTTATTTTGGTGTTATGGAATACGTAGCCATTTAAAATTGCTGAATGAAAGCTAGCTCTAGGCATAAAAAAAGAACATATAGATCTAAGAACTTTGTAAAATACTTAAACTGCTTAACAGGCCCAATATGGTGATACTCAGAAGAAAGATGTAGGCTGTGTGACATCAGCCTTGTCTACATAATAAATTCCAGGACAACCAGGGCTACATAAGACCTTCTTTCAATAAAGGAAAAAAAACAGAGAAGAAGAAAAAGAAAATACTTAACAAGATAAAACCTTCGTTGGACATTGAAATTCATTGTTATGTAACTTACTACCATATTTCAGTTTACTATATGTGCCTTTTTTATACTATTTTACTTTACCGTGTATTAAAGTAAAATGTCAATCCTTATATTAAATTCATTAAGATTTTGTAGACCTTTAATATATATTTTCTGCCTAGACAGCATTCTAAATATACATAAAATAAAGCATAGAATTTTTCCAGAAATAAAAAAAGCTAGAACAGACATATCTTTGATGTTTATATTTCTAGACTCCTAATTAGTGGAGTTAGGAAAGACATACTCATATATTGTTAATGAGATATACTGAGGACTGAGGAATAACAAGTTAATGGCATAATTATGTAGTTTGCTAACTGAAAATGACTATAATTCTTTGACTCCTCATTGGTTCTGTCCTTTGGGAAAGTGTCCAGAACTAGTATAGCTAGATTATATGGTAGTTCTATTTTTAGTTTCTGGAGAAACTATATTTCCATAGTGGCTGAACTAGTATATACAACCATTCATGACAAATAAGAATCCCCCTTTCTCCATTTCCTCCCTAATGTGAGCCACTCTGACTGGGGTGAGGTACTGTAATTTGCATATTCACAACTAAAAATGTTGCAAACTGGTTGAAAATATTTGTTAACCATTTATGTTTCTTCTTTTGGAAACTATCTTTCAATTTATTCAGCCATTTATTTATGAGAAGATTTTTAAAAAATTTTTTAGTTCTTTATAGATTCCAGAACTAGTCAAGGTTTGCTCCCATTCTGCAGACTGTTTCTTACTGATAGTTTCCTTTGCAATGCAGAAGCTTTTAGTGTCATGTGATACTATTTGTCAATTATTTGTTTGCTCCCTGTGCTATTGGAGTCTTTTCCAGAAAGTTCTTGACTATGCCTATCTTAAAATACTTTCTTCTTTGTACACTGGTATGGTAGTTTGAATATTTGGCCCCCATAAGCTCATGGGGAGTGACACTATTAGGTGGTGTGGCTTTGTTGGAGTAGGTGTGGCCTTGTTGGAGGAAGTGTGTCACTGTGAGGGTGGGCTTTAAGGTCTCATATATGCTCAAGCCACACCCAGTATCTCAGTTCACTTCCTGTTGCTTTTGGATCAAGATGTAGAATTTTCAGCTCCTTCTCCAGCACCTTCTCTGCCTGCAGGCCACCATACTCCCAGTTGTCAATGGGCTAAGCCTCTGAAAATGTAAGCTGCCACCTCAGTTAAATGTTTTCCTTCATAAGAGTTGCCATGGTCATGGTGTCTTTTCATAGTAATAGAAACCTTAACTAAGACGACTGGTATATTGTTGTTGCTTTCATTTTTAACATTTTCTTGGTCTAGCTTTCTTATGTTTACCCCTGCATGGTAGATAAAACTTCTATTCATTGCATAATTCTACATCTCACCTAAATGTCTGCAAATAAAATGGGCATTCCTTCTTAAAAGTATCTCATGTACTTACACATTAACCTCTTAATAGCTGAAAATATAGTATTGCCCCCAGCATACTGCAATTCTCATGGTAAGTCTATAATTTCTATCCCTTCTTCAGAGAGTTCAAAGATTTACCCTCTAACAAGTTTATACTTATAAGTATTTACTTTTCTACTTTACCTACTAATTCTGTGTGTGTGTGTGTGTGTGTGTGTGTGTGTGTGTGTGTGTGTGTGAGAGAGAGAGAGAGAGAGAGAGAGAGAGAGAGAGAGAGAGAGAGAGAGAGAGAGATTTGGTTCTACTTGGGAATTTTTATCATATTTGTTTTTTGCTTGCTTTTAATCTTCATTGTTGTTTTTAGGTGTTTGGTTGATTTGGTTTTAGGTTATTTTTGAAAAGAAATAGAGATAGAACATGGAATTTGGTTGGTAGGGAGGTGTGAAGGAACTGGGAGGAGGTGGATAAGGAGAAAGCATGATCAAAATATAGTGTATGAAATAAAATTTAAATAAAAAATATGTGAAGAGGATATGGGAGAACTCTGAAACACTATGAAAAGCCTTAACTTTTGGATTACAGGCATAGAATAAGGAGAAGCATATTGCATCAAAGATATAGCAAATATTTTTGATAAAATCATAGAATATTTTCTAAACATACAGAAAGATGTCTACTCAAGAATAACAAATTTAAAGAACAACAAACAAAGAAGATCAGAAAAGAAGTACCCGACAATATATAATTCAAATATGGAATAAAGGAAGGGTATTTATAAAAAAGAAAGAGTATTGGAAGCTGCACAAAGAAATGTGAAATCACTTACAAAGGTAGGCTGATCAAATTAACACCTGATCATTTTACAGGAAATTTTAAAGCCAAAAGGGCCTTAAAAACTCATAAAAACCACCCATTAAAACTGAAGAAATAAAAGGCTTCCATGATAAAAACAGACTAAAGGATTATGACCACTAAACCAACTCTACAGAGGCTACTGGAAGGAGTACTTCAGTCTGAAGAGAAGGATGATCACATACAAGAGACCACAGGGAATAAAAAAGCAATATAAGGACAGTTGACTGAAAGAAGTCTAATGAAATACCACATGATCAGCAAAATGACAAGAATTAATGTTCACCTTTCAATGATATACTGAATGTTTGAAGTCTTGATTTCACAATATGAGGATACAGAGTAGCAGACCAAGAAAACATGATCCATCTTTCTTCTGCCTCCAAGAAACATGTCTCAATAACACTGGTAGACACTACCATAGAGGAGAGGGATAGAAAAAGGTATTCCAAGCAAATGGGACTAGGAAACAAATTGGTGCAGCTATAAAACTTACAGAGTACATAAACTTATAAAAATGAAACAATACTGAAGAAATAAGGAAGAAAATTTTAAAAATTTGAAGGAGAAGAAAGTTCAAAATAAAAAGACTGGTTAAATATACAAAAAATAAAAATAAAATGAACCGTATGCTGCCTACAAGAAACTTCACTAATAAAAATATACATAGATGAAGAATGAAGGGTTGGAAAAAGATTTATCACAAGAAAATGATTTGCTTTGGTCAATGACGTGTGAGCAGAAGTACAGGTGGCACTTTGTGTGTCAGTTTGTATGTGTGTGTGTGTGTGTGTTTATGAAATGTAGGTGCATGTATGTGGGAATGTATGTGAAGACCAGACAATAGTTCACCCTCAAGTAAGCTTCCTCAGGAGTCATCCATCCTGGTATTCTTGAGACAGAGACTGTCTCTTTTTTTTCCTTCATTTTTCTTTATTAAGAAATTTTCTACTCACTCTGCATACTATCCACAGACCCCCCCCTCCTCCCTCCTTCCACCCTGCAGCCCTCTTTCCCAAGCCACCCCGCAACCCCACATCCCCTAAATCGAGGTCTCCCATGGGGAGTCAGCAGAGCCCGGCACACTGAGCCTAGGCAGGTCCAAGCCCCTTCCCACTGCACCAAGACTATGCAAGGTGTCACACCACAGGCACCGGATTCTGGAAGCCTGCCCATAGACCAGGGACAGATCCCGATCCGCGAGAGAGAGACTTTCATTGTGACCTGAGGCTCACTGATTCAGCTAGGCTGACTGATCTTAGAGCCCCAAGGATCCACATGCTTCACCAACTCAGCACTTGGATTACAATGGCATCACAAATGGCTTTTTAATGTGTATGGAAAGGAACAAACTCAGGTTCCCTCCTCTCACAAGGCAAGCAGGCACTTCACCTACTGAGCTATTTCCCCAGCATTGCCAAACCTTTTTTTAAAGCCGGAGGAATCATAGTACCTGAGTTAAAACATACCACAAAGTTTGCATAATTCTCTCATGGCCCTCTCCTCCTGCCTTTGTCATCCACCATTATCCCTATTTGTTGTTCTAGACAAGCTTCTCTTCTACTTCCACCTCTCTCTCTCAATCTTTCTCAATTTTACCAAAAAATGTATTAATATTCTATTTTCTATTAAATCTTTTCAACCATGTATAACTCATTAGTAATGGACAGCCCTTATTGACAGTGAAGGTCTGTGCCAATTCCTATTAAGCATTCATAAATAAGCCCTCGTGGCTAACTAAGGGAACTTGGGTGCAAGTTTTAAAACCACAGGCATACAAGGCAGTAGAGAGGGCTTGGAAGAGTGACAAGAGGAGTCTCAACAGAGGAAAACAGAAAAAAATTAATGTAAAAAAGAAGATGTGAAAAGGAAAGGAAACAAAGGAAGAAAATGGCTAGGGAAAATAAAGGAAGAAAGAAAATGAAGACAATATTGTTCTTAAGCTAAAAATCCCATGGGAGGATCCTCAAAGGAGCCCTTCCGTCTAGAATGGATTTCTGCACTATACACAATGCAATTAGCTCTATTAAGTTGTGACTTTCAAAAAAATCTAAATTATTCAGTGTAAGACAGTGCTTCTGCCTTATCTTGTTCATATTTTATCCTACGCAGTTTTATCCTCAAAGTGATAGAGGATACCAACCGACATATCAAAGCCAAACACCAAACAATCCAGGTGGCCTGTTCTTCTGGTTATTT